AAGGCCCTTCATCAGAATGCCAACATATAATTAATTTTGAATGGCCTAATCTGTACTAGTTCAACAAGTTAAACCCAATACCACGGCTTTCATTTTTTAATCTGAATGTTCGTGTTGCCGTGGCTGGGTTTAACTTCCGTGCTATGCTTTCATTTGTTGCAAATTCTCACCATCAGTTATTAATTAAACGCGCATTGAATTCCATGCGCTACCATAGGCCCCCATTAAATTTTTTTGCATCAAGGGCCGAATAGGCACGGACGTTAAACCTAGGGCGGGCCACAAGATATGTCAGATAAGAAATAAGGCCCAGACTAGGTTTAACTTGTTGAACTAAATCTGTACATGCAGTTATGTAGTGTACATTTATGCCCAGGTTAGCAGCCATATTGAAAACATAAACCAGTCAGCCTTATTTTCATCACAAAATTTAAGTTTTAGTGGTGAGCCCACACTCCCACAACAATGATATTTGCAGGGAAGCTACCTCACAGTCTCTGCATTATACAGTTTCAATATCTTTTTTGTGGGAGTTTGGGCTGATGGTTAAATTTTCAATGAAAGGGAATGAGCACGATGCTAAAACTTGATAACAAAGTGAACGAAAATGACAATGTTTTCCAGATTTGCATTAGTAATCTTCATATATAGCTGGATTTTGTTAATGTTCTACTCCGAATGCTTGTATGCTATATGTTCCATATAATAAATTCTATATAATGATAAGTTTTGATATTATTTTGAGGGTAAACATAGTGTGTACCCATATTCAGACAGTCTTGTGATAGGGGTTCTTACTGCCAATTTTTCAAAGAATCTGAAAACTAATGCCACTTTTTGAAATTGCACATTTCAAGAAAAAAGGTTTATCTACAATTTGCAATCGGTTTCAAAAGTAAATGGAAGAATGAGTTTTTTGGAAAAAGTCTAAGTGGACCAATAGTCTGTTAAATGGACCTGTTCTTTACAGGGATGTTTCTACATATCAAAGTTAACAACTGATTAGTTTTTGGGCATTCTGGGTTAATTTTGAGGTGGCCATTTTGGATTTTCCGTCCTAAAATCTTCACTTTCAAGACTTGTCTACAGGTTTCCAGCCAAACCATTTGATGGATTCATCTGAAATTTTCAGGGATGTTTCTACGCATCAAAGTTAAGAACTGATTAGTTTTTGGGCATTCTGGGTAAATTTTAAGGTGGCCATTTTGGATTTTCCGTCCTAAATTCTTCACTGTCACACTGCTGTGTTTTAGGTACGATATTGTTCACGTCTGTGCCTTGTTCATTGGTTTATTAAGATCACGTGATCATTCTCAACGAGACATGGTCAACCCATGGTCAAAGTCATCGCCCCCTCCCCCACACACACCTTATGTGACTTATTCCTCGAGACTTACAGTTTATATTTGTTAATTCACATTTGTATTCGTAAACTCATATTTGTATTCGTAAAGTTTCATTCTATCATTCGCTAATGTACAAATATTTCTTTGCTTTCTGCAATAATTCATGGGTAATATGCAAGATTATTATTGGTAAAAATACACCTCTTCGATGAAATAACAGGCAAATTTTGGGAAATTTACGAATTGTAAGCTGTATCTGTTGTTGATTTTAGTATCCATTTGTAGTTGTATAAGGGAATTTATAACAAACGAATAATGAAACAGTTATGACGTTCGCTCTTAATCGAAAAGGTATGGAAATGATGTACTTAAAAAGTCCTCAAAAAGGACAAAATTTGATTGTTCAATATTTTCCAATGATACATTTCGTGTAGCTATTCGCATGACCCGAAAGTTCTAAATCAAACTAATTACTCAATTTTGTTTTACACCCGCATGCTCACGTCCGGTGATCGTGAAAATGGGACGGAGGGGGGAGCAGGCAATTTCCGCTAGAAAATTCAACAAATCTGGTAAAATTATTTTTTCAAGACAGAGTTTACGATTGAATTGCAAATTGAATAAGCGCACGGTATGATAAAATATGTTAGGTATTCTAGGATTATTTTTCAACCGATACTCTTTTAAGATATAAGATCTATTAAAAAAGGCGCAACGCAACCAACGTGCAAAAGTCAAAGTTTTTGCTATAAATCAAGCAACAATGGACTACACGACCTGTAATAAATACTTGTAAGTGATGTTATCATAACTAAGTTAATGTCATTGCTGAATTTATAAAATAAGTTTCCATACGTAAAATAAAAAAATAATCGAAAATAATTAAAATGGGACGGAGGGGGGGAGGGGACGGAGGGGGAGTAATAATTCTATGAAGTGAAACAACTTCACACGAATTCTTGTATTTGAAAAATGAACTCATTAACTTAGTAAGAAACTGGATGATATACCCCTGGAGACTGAAAAATGGGAACATTTGGAGTAAAAGGACTTAAAGTCGCGAAACATCTCTAATCATGTCTTGTATACATATTGCTCCCCCCCTCCGTCCCCTCCCCCCCCCCCTCCGTCCCAAATTCATTATTTTCGATTATTTTTTATTTCACATATAGAAACTTATTTTATAAATTCAGCAATGACATTAATTTAGTTATGATAACATCACTTACAAGTATTTATTACAGGTCATCCAGACCATTGTTGCTTGATTTATAGCAAAAATGTTGATTTGTGCCTGTTGATGGCCTTGCGCCTTTTTTAATAGATCTCATACCTTAGATGCGTATCGTTTCGGAAAAAATCCCAGAAAACCTAACATATTTTACCATACCATGCGCCTATCCATTTAGCAATTCAGTAGTAAACTTTTTCTTGAAAAAATAAATCTTCCAGATTTGTTGAATTTCCTAGCAGAAATTACCTGCCCCCCCCCTCCGTCCAATATTTACGATCACCGGGCGTGATGCTAAATAAAACAATGACACCATCAGAATTATTGTTCTTTGTCATTGCTTTAATAGTCAGTATCACTGGTGATCTCCTCGATTACGCTGGTTACCGAAACGGTTTGTTTCCGTAACAAAACGTTGGAACGTCGAAGGTACGATTCTTCTTTTTTCCTTATTTCACGCGTTGTAGGTAGAATCCCCACAACATCTCTTCTCACAAACGTTCATCAGTTTTCAGTATATAATATGTTTTAGAAAATGTACATGTTTGCGAAAAAATAGCTCAGAAGACAACAGAAGATTTGAAGATGAGTACTTTTATTCTGTTGTTGCATCGATGTTGCAGTTTGTAGTGTGGTAAGATTGGAACGTAAGTGTTGAAAGTCGATTAAAATTATTTTTTCCAATATGGCGACTAGTCAACTGATCACGTGACCTTTTCTTCCAGAATATTTTCTCACTTTTCAATGATCGTTTTCACCACATTATGGATCAAAACAATGAAAAAAATATCTGTTACATTAAGATTAATAGGAGATCAATTGTTTCTGATAATTTATTCTGTACTCCCGTACGGGAATATGAACAATTAATACATCGATTGGAAAATAGGTGTGCAAATCCCCATGTTAATACCTTTGTATGTCCAGGCGATACCTCAAATACAAGTCAATTGATGATTTGCGATCACTGGATGGATTTTATCTTGTAGTGACATCACAATTAGGCCACATTGCTGTAGCTGTTTGATATTGAGAGATTATCTTCTGTATTTCGTACTTTATTGATTTATTTTTCACGAAAGTATTTGATTTGACTAGATCAACATTCATTCTAATCCCATGCTAAGTCTAAGATCTTACTGACATGATTTAGATAGTGGTTAAGCACACCCCGATTTTGAAAAAAACAGGGGGCGCTTATAGGCATTAATGTTTAGTATGAATTTCAACGAAACTACCTGGTAAAAATCCAACCCACAGTTTACATAAAAGAAGCGATAATCGTTTCAGCTCAAAACTGCCACGTGTCTGCCATTTTGTCTCTTCGTAAAACTCTGCTTAAGAAGGAATTTTCAAGATAATTATTACTGAATTCAAAATGACTATTTTCCAGGATAAATATCTTATTTGATAACGTTAACACCAGCATCATGTTTTGGTTAAAATTTTATAGGCTTATACCTCATGGCCATAAGGCCTCCATTCAAGAAGGAATTAATATACTATTGCCTGGTTTTATTTCTATCATGTCATGCTCAAAATGACGAGTGATTTCATAACATGTTTTGTTGGGTGTGATTTGGTGCTCTGCTTTTTATCATACTTAAAAAAAGTATGATATTGTCATCAGCTTGGCAGTCAGGCGGCAAGATATCACACTTGTCATCGCAATTCCATGCAGGAGAACCACTTAACCTAATTACTTCAAATGTTTACACATGTTACATGGTTAGAAGTTCTAGATCTGATTAACTTTTGGTGGCCATCTTGCATTCTGGTAGCCATTTCGGAAGTTTTTAGATAAATCTTGTCATCGCGATTTCATGAAAATCACTTATAGGATTTTCTTCAAATTTTTACACATGTTACATGGCAAGAAGTTCTACAGCTGATAATTCTTCGGTGGCCATCTTGTTTTCTGGTGGCCATTTTGGAAGTTAGATAAATCTTGTCATCACGATTCCAGAAATACCTCCACAGAATTACTTCAAATTTTCATCATGGTAAGAAGTTCTAGAGTTGATTTACTTTTGGCTGCCATAATGCTTTCTGGCGGCCATTTTGGAAGTTTTTATTAGATAAATCTTGGGGTCACAATTCCAGGAAAACCACTTCAAATTCTTACCATGGAAAGAAGTTCTAGACATGATAACTTTTCGGTGACCATCTTTCTTTCTGGCGGCTATTTTGGCTACATAAATCTTATCAGAATTCCAGGAAAACCACAACTGAATTACATGTACTTCAAATTTTGACATATGTTATATGGTAGGATGTTCTAGAGCTGATTAACTTTTTGTAGGCCATCTTGCTTTCTGGGTCAACAAGCCCGCACTGCTATATTTTAGATATGATATTGTTCACCCTTTTTACCAAACATCCTTTATTTTGGATTGAAAAAAGGAATTTTTTGTTGATTGCAGGTTCACACCAGACTTTACAATGTCTCGTGTCCAGCGTAAGCTGTCTGTCTATACAAGCCTAGGACCACCTTTAAACTACACCCTTATGGCAACACTACCAGCCTTCATGCTGTCCAAGTGTTCAGCTTCTTTACCTAGACCCCCTTGGGAACCAGTCGTATACTACTCAACTATTTGCACAATGGGATTTGTTCTATTCTGTATTATGGTTGCAACCTACCTTGAAGCAGATCGAATTTTAACATCTGATATTTTGCGCCAGAGAACCCGTGTTGCTAATACATTTGATCGTTCAAAAATATTTGATTTAAGGACGTTAGCCAATATGAGATATAACAATGAGGCAAAGTCAACAAGTTTACAGAAAAATGGTCACGATATATCAAATGGTAACTTGGATAAACATAAGAAAGATGAATCCTCAACCATTACTGTGACTAATAATATCCAGCAGAACAACACGCCTATACGGTCAATTTATGAACGCCAGGGATCATGTGAGAAAGAAGTAAAATCCAACAACAATCTGCCAAACAATATGAAACTAAACACTGAAACAGATACAGTGGCATTACATGATCCAACTATGCCATCTTGTGTTACTAACATTAAAGATACACTGAAGAAATCCAAAGCGCCGAGAAAACAACAAAATATCTCCTCCTTGGATATGAACAACATGGAGATGAACTTCTCAAAGTTGCCTAGCAGCAAAGATATGTTGCTTAGTAACAAGAAGATTGAGAATGACTTGAAAACAGTTCTAAACAATGAAAAGAACAGAACTCAGATTAGCAACCATAGCAACACACACACTAGTACGCAAAGCACCAACACTCCATCGTCAAACATCCTTGATGAAATCAACCTAGAAACACTGTTACCACAACACCCTGACATTACCATGGCAGCTGTTGATGATGTTGATGACAACACAACAGATTCTGCTAACAAGAAAGATTTCAAAAGCAAAACCAAGCGAAGACAACCAAAAGCTCTTCTGAAAAGAGCAGAGAAAGACAGGCGTCAGAAAGAAAAGCAGCAACGCAAAGAAATGATTGAAGTTGACAAAGATGAGACATCATCAACTACTACAGAGTCATCTGGTGTTGATGTGGATGAGAAAGTAAGTCAGCCAATAGAACAAATTAAAGCCATCAAAGTCCTTTTAAAAATGTAAAAAATCTCCAAAGAATTTTATGGATTGTTATGTATTTGTGTCTCTGTGATTGACACAAAAATACAGTAATGTGCTGAATGGTTAAAGGCAGAATCAGATCTAGCAATTACTTTGGTGCTTCATCTTGACGAAAATTCTTTCAGGTATATAATATCTTGGGCTCATAGACCTGATTCTGTCTTCAAAATCACATTTGACATTTAACTGTTTCCTTCCAGCCAATTATCATACGAGAGTTGACACTTGAAAATGAACCAACCACAACACAAACAGAAAAACCTGACAAAAAAGCCAAAATGAAGCTGGCTGCTGAGATCAAGAAAAAATCTCTGGACATCTGTGATGACATGGATGACTTTGAACTCCAGCGCAAGGCAAAGGCTAGCAAAGGCAAAGCAGAGCAGCAGATTAAATACAAGAGGTAGTTTTTTATTCCATATTTTAATATTTCATATTTATTATTTCATACATATTTTTAATATAACAAATCACAACTTTTTAGTTTAAAGTTTCATATTTAATATTAGTAAACTGATTTTTTTTTGAAGTATGATTAAGTTGGTACATGTGTCTATGGTATAACATTTAGGGAAAAAAAGATTACACCATGGCCTCTCATACTACTTCATGCACATTCATTCTTGTTTTAAGTGTATTCCCTTGTAATAGAAACGAAAACTAATTATTTTTTATCAACATATGTATCTCATTAGAAAGACTAGAGATTTGCAGAAGTTTAAGAAATCTACAAAGGAATATGATCAGGTAGATAAGGTAGACTGTTTTATTGGAGACATTAAGCTTGCAATGTTTTTAACGACGTAACCGTAACTGTGAACGCACAGTCCATTAAAGTAACTTTCAATGATTTTTTAAAAAAATTAAAACCATTGGAAATACTAAATATGGTTTAAGTGCCATATATAAAATTTATTTTAGAAATATTGTGGATCAAAAAGAAAGAAAACAAAAATAAAGAATAAAAACATATTTTACCTGTGGTATTTGAACCCAGATCTTTCGGAACAAAAGTCCATTAGTCTAAAGCCCTAACCACTATACCATGTAGCCAAAGCTAAGTGTACAAAGAAATTCTTTATCTATATAATCATGGACAAAAAAGTCCTATTTACATGATCAAAATTACTACTAATAATAACACTATGCGTGTCTGAGTGAGTATTTTGATCTACATTTAGGATAAATGATGTTTAATTCAGTTTTCATTTTGGGTATGACTTCCTGTCATTGTACAGGTTTAAAGTCTCCAATGTTTCAGGAATTGGACTAAAGAGACTTACAGGGTACATTTTGATTTGTTTTGTTTTACCCCAAAAACCACTGATTTTGACGATATTTGGCTATAATTTCGTCCTTAATGACCCCAAGATGTCATATGTTGTCGTAAATGGAGAAGCCAATGAGTTGCTGTTCATAATAAAGATTGAATTTTCCATCTTATGGTTTCTAGTAAAGAATGAAGGTACATATCAGGGGTGCAGTCAGAGATTGGTCAGTTAAGTGTCAATTTTTGATGTATTTGTCCACTCTGAATGACCAAATTCGAGCTAAAACTATCTCAAAAGTCCCAATTCTCTAGGCCAGAGTCAAATCTGATCAAATTTGTCATCATTTTTCAAATCAGGAGGTTGTTGAATGGAATAAAATATCAAAAAATGATAATTTTAGTAAAATTTTGCCTAAGTAGGCCAAATTTGCCCAATTTTCTGGTTCACGGTTCAGTGATTTTGGCTAAAAATCGCAATATGCAATAAACAAACTCAATTTCTTGACACAACATTGTAAAATGTAACCATCAGGCAGTAGATTTCATGATGTAAATGAAAAACTAGTCAAATTTAAAGGAAAACCATTGGGTTCTTGGGAAAATGACCCCAGGGGTAATAAGGTAGCCATATTTTTCATAATTGCTGTCAGAATATTCTTAAACTGCACAAAACAACTTGAAAAACTCTAGTAAATTGGAAAAAACGCAATTTCAAGCCAGAAATCATCCAACCATGTTGCTATTAGGCCCAAATGCCCTAATATATCACTTCCGCTGAATAGAAAAAAGTAGTTTTCAAAAGTGAATGTAGTCCCAACACAATTGTGATCATGACGAGTCAGTAAGCTAGTATGTAGGCACAGTTGTCATCTTTTTGCAATGACAACATGCCATTTCTTCTGAAAATGCGTTTATTTGGGTTATCTGAAGGGAAATTTCGAATCAAGTGGCGTATTAATTTTGCCTTCATTTTATGAATTTCAATTACTGTCGGCAGAGAGAGGGGGTAGTGTCACAATTGACCAATTATTTCAAAAAGTAGATGATTGGCCCCCATTGAGTTTAGTGTCAAAATGTAGCTTAGACATAGGTTTAGAACCTCAGATAGGCCAGTGAGGCCACGTAAATCCATAACTCGAGATAAAAAGTCAGGCGTTTGCCCTTTTGCCCATTGACTAGTATGGTGACATGAATTAGGGCAGTTTGGCCATTGTCTTATGACATTTTGGCTAGTAGGTGGCCATTTTGAAAAGTGGCCATCATTTACAGTTACATGTGTGCAATTTTGTTGAAATTTTACATGTGCCTACATAGAAGCATATTACACTTTCTAATGACAATTTGTCTAGTGAGCAACTATTTTGAAAATGGTGGCCACTTTTTTGTGTGTTATTTTATGATTTTTGCTATATACTTCGTTTGTAAAAATGCCAGCTATGGCTGTTCAATGGGATTTGCTACACTTTGGTGTTGTTATTGTCTAGTTTTTTGTTGTTTACAAAACAATCGCGTGGTTGCTATGATGTTGTTATTACCCATCTTCGACTTATAAGGTGTAATAACACACTTTGGATGCAAATGCTTATTTTTTGTCCTGTTACTGTGTGGTGTTTGATGCCCATGGAAATCATCACAGCACCAATCAAAAGTGTCCAAATATTTGTTTCACATGCAATCACACTTATAAATTCTCATTTTATGGGCCCTGATGGTGTTTCAATTGAAAAATTCCTTGAACTGATTTTTATCTTACATAATGATAACAAGATTTTGTAGAATGATATCTTTATGTTGAGAATACTACTAGCATTTTGTTTTGTTTACTCAGTGAACTATTCATTCTTAGCTTATCACTTTTCTCAACAACCATTCGGTCTTCAGTCAAGACAGTCATATGGCCAATTAAGGACCTGTTTTGGGATCTCAGAAATTGGGTCAAATTTTCATCTAAGTCAAAGGTCAAGAATTAAATCTTACATTTTCAACATTCTGTCATTTATCTTTGTTGTTATTTAACGTAAGTCTTTGATCTTTTTTCATCATGTAGCCAAATCGAGGCTGTGCCATACGTTTTTCAACATATGAGTTATGAAATTGGTGTAGAATCTTCTCAGGAAAGAATTCAAATCTGCAAACCAAATTTTGATTTGACATCGGTTCAAAAGTTATGGCATTTTAAAGTCTCAAAAATTGCTGTTTTGGTGTACAATGTTAAGTCAATGGGACTGGAAAAAATATGAATTATAAAAACACGTGATTCAGACTAAATGCAGCTAATATAATGAATGCCTACAACAGAAGTAGACCTCAAAAATCTACTCTGCTTTAAAATTTGGACACTAAAAGGCATAGGTCAAATATTTAGTTTTTTGCAATTCTGACACTATACTTTCAAAACATTCTGAAATTTGGTATACTGATAGCTAAAAGTAAGCTTATAGTGATAGTTTTTTTGCAGTCAGAAAGTATTTTGTCCCGTTTTTGAGATATGGGGTCTGGAAAGTAGGTCAAAATAAAATGATTTTCAAATTTAATGTGTGAGTTATTAAATAAAGGTGAAATTTCAGGAATCAGAATCTGCAAACCAAATTGCGATCCAACTTTCGGTTCGGAAGTTATGGCATTTTGAAAAATTCAAAAAACTTCAAAAAAGCCAAGGTCAAATTTTAGGTCAAATTCATGTTTTTTCTTATTTTTGCAAATCTGACACTATACTTGAATGATATTTTTCTAAATTTGGTATACAAATAGCAAAATGTATGCTAATAGTGTTAGCCTTTTTAGTATTTTGACCCAATATGATGTCCAAAAATTAGGCCAACATAAAAAGTTCTACAAATTTAACGTGTGAAAACAATTTTCTCAGGAATCTGAATCTGCAAACCAAATTTCAATCCGTCCTCCGGTTCGTAAGTTATGGTATTTTGAAATCTCAAAATGTTGATATGGTGATTTCCCTATCGATATGGCGCAAACTTCAGCTATGGAATCAAATTAGATAGGAGAATGACTGCAATAAGAAGAATCATTTAAGCCAAATAAATTCAAGATTACTTACATAAATTTCTTTAAAATTTAGTATAGAAATAGATAAAAGTATACTTATAGTGTTAGCCTTTTACCCCTGAAAGTATTTTGACCCAGTTTTGAGATAAGCATCCAAAATGTAGGTCAACAAAAAGATCTCAAAAATCAATGTGTAAGGTAGCATAAATAAGAAATTTTCTCTGGATTCCGAATCTGAAATCAGGATTGATAATTCGACTTATGGTTTGGGATCTATTACCTTTTAAGGTCAAAATTGTGAAATTTTCATAGTTATTTTCTTTTAGTTTAAAATAGGTTAAAAATGATAAAGAGGACCAAAAATCATAAGTCAAGTCAAAATTTTGAACATCTTGGGTCAAGTCCAGGTCAAGTTCAATCCAGTCCATCCTTTTGTCTAAAACATGTCTGTCTAAAAACCACAGAAGATCTGTCATCTGGAGTCTGAAATTGAACTTGTTCAATTTAGAATGTCTAGTAATTATTAAACTCCAGATGAAATCTGGAGTCTATTGTTTTTGCCTCTTTTCTTTATTCTTTCTTATTTATTCTTATTATTTTACTGAGCAAGTTTTCTCAACAACTATAAGGTATCAAATCAAGATTATTATATGGTCAATTAAGGTACTATATCTAGTTGGTGGGAAATGGGGTCAAATTTTTATCTAGGTCAAAGGTCAAGAACTAGGTCAAATATTACATTTTCAACCTTCTGTCTATTATCGTCGTCATTATTTATCGAAACATCTTCATCTTTTTTCATCGTGTAGCTTAGAAACAGCCCTTTCATAAGTGTGCCATCCGTTTTTTGATTACTCTTGATTTTGAAATATGGCGTCCAGAAAGTAGGTCAAAATAAAAAGTTCTTCAAATTTAACATATGAGTTATGAATTAAGAGTAGAATTTTCTCAGGAATCCGAATCTGCAAACTGAATTGAAATCTGACTTCCGGTTCAGAAGTTATGGCATTTTGAAAACTCTAAAATCGCTAAATTTGGTGCCCCATGTTACTTCAATGGGAAAAAAATATTTTTTGAAGTGTAAAATACAAGATATAGACTGAGTACAGCTTAATATAATGAAAGCCTATGAAAGAAGGGGACCTCGAAGGCTACTTAGCTCCAAAATTTGGACACCAAAATCCCTAGGTTAAAATCTAGGTCAAATTCCTAGTTTTTCCTTATTTTTGCAATTCTGACACTACACTTAAATTATATTCTTCGAAATTGTGTATATATGTAGCCAAGAGTGTGCTAATAGTGTTAGCCTTTTGCCGTCAGAAAGTGTTTTGACCCACTTTTGAGATATGGTGTCCGAAAAGTAGGTCAAAATAAAAAGTTCTCCAAATTTAACATATGAGTTATGAATTAACGATAGAATTTTCTCTGAAATCCGAATCTGCAAACCAAATTTCGATCCGACTTCCGGTTCGGAAGTTATGGCGTTTTGAAAGCTCAAAAATCGCTAAATTTGGTGCTATGTCAATAGGAAAAAAGATTTTTTTGAAGTGTAAAATAAGAGATATAGACTGAGTACAGCTTAATATAATGAAAGCCTATGAAAGAAGGGGACCTTGAAGGTTACTAAGCTCCAAAATTTGGACACCAAAATCCCTAGGTCAAAATCTAGGTCAAATTCAAAGTTTTTCTTATTTTTGCGATTTTGACACTACATTTAAATGATTTGCTTCAAAATTTTTTATACAGATAGTAAAGAGTGTGCTAATAGTGTTAGCCTTTTGCCGCCAGAAAGTATTTCAATCCACTTTTGAGATATGGTGTCCGAAATGTAGGTCAAAATAAAAAGTTCTCTAAATTTAACGTATGAGTTATGAATTAAGGGTAGAATTTTCCCAGGAATCCAAATCTGCAAACCAAATTTCACTTCCACTTCCGGTAAAGAAGTTATGGCGTTTTGAAATTTTGAGAAAAATCAATCTGATGATAGCCTTATAGAAAGTCAAGAGAAGTGAAGAAAAATACCAGTGCAGTACATTTTTAGGTACAAGTCCAGGTCCAAGTCAGGTCCAGGTCTAAGTCCAGATCAGGTCCAAGTCCAGTCAAAGTTCAGGTTCAGGTCCATGTCCAGTCTGGTTCCAAGGCCAGTCCAGTTCTAAGTCCAGTCCAAGACCAGCCCAGTTTCAATCCAGCCAAGGTCCAAGTCCAGTCCAAGGCCAGTCTAAGTCCAGTCCAGGTCCAAGTCCATGTCTGAATCTAGTCAAAGTCCAAGTCCAGTCAAAGTCAAAAGCCAGTCCAATCCAGGTCCAAGTCCTTGCCAATGTCTAGGTCCAAATCCAGGTCCAAGTCCAGTCCAGGTCCAACTCTAGACCAGGCCAGTTTTAAGTCGAAGTCCAGGTCAGAGTCCTGTCAATGTCCAAGTCCAGTCCAGTCTGTCCTTCCATCCATCCGTCCATCTGTCTGTCTAAAAAACCCTGAAGATCTGTCATCTGGAGTCTGAAATTGAACTTGTTCAATTTCCCCAGTCCAGTTATTATTATTATTACTAATTTTTGTGATCGTGAGAACCCTACATTGGAAAACGACATTTTTATAGCTGCAGGTTTAGAAAACCCACTCTATATGTGCTTCTTGAAATGTTAATTTTCAGAATCTGAATACAAATTTTGTTTGCAGAACCTTGTATTAGTGCAATTGACAGTATTATTAAAGAATTATATATTGTCAGGGTACGTTTATACTAAAAGCAACTATTCATTTGAAAATACAATGACATGTCAATCTGAAATGTGATAAATCATGTTTTGAACTTTTGGGACATCAATATATTTTCCCAGACTCTGAGATAACATGAATTGTGAATTGTCTTCTCATGTTCAGGGAGAAGATCAGCCTGCCTTATGTGACAGAAAATGAGAGAAAAGAAGCTAAGCAGAACCCACTCTCCCCTCATCAGATTGCCAACGATGCTGCCGCCAAAATACTGAAGAAAAACAAGCCCTCTAAGCTAAAGACAAAAGGTAGGTTTTCACAGGTACCTTTGTATGTTGTGCCAGATGGATGGTACTAAGCTAATTGTAAAAAATGAATGTACTTTACTCTAAATTGGTAATTGGGCACTTTAAATTGGTATGAGGGCACTTTAGCTTGATATAAGGCAGTGTTTGACTTATCAGATAGACCCTGGCAGTCTGATTCTTTGTGGAGTAGGCAAATTTTCAAAATCACTTACCCGAATGTCGCACTACATTTCAGGGGTATAATTTGACTCAAGTATCTTACCCTGTTATATCTGCAAGTTAGAATCCAGGGGCTTCAGTATTTCGATCCAATTCTCACCTAAATGATCATTTTCAGAGATTATTTTGAGAAGTTTATTTTTCAGAAGTTTTTCAAGAAAAAAATTAGGCGATATCTTATCTCTTTTTATGCACAGTGCTGATTCAAAATTAATTCAAATGAATTAATGAATGAATGCTTATTGCCGAACAAATGCTATTTAATAGTGAATTTCTAACATCAAATTATTATTAAATAAATCAGACACATTTTGAAAGCTTGCATGAGGTTCGTTATGCACCATTTTTTCAATCTCCCTACCTGACAAGTTTTCAGATGAAAGGAAAGCACTGATATAAGGGTACTGGAAATGGTATGAGGGAAAAGGGTAGATTTGTTGATTTAGGTTGGTATTGGAGCACTTTAACTTAAGGTATAACTGTACATAAAATTGTTCATAAAAATAGCTGCAACATTTTTATCTCACCAAAGGAAGTTTTAGTTGGATATAGAGAAGCTGTCCTCCCATTGTATCATCCATCTGTGCATCTCTCTGGTTTATAACTCAAATACTAGTTGAAGAACTGCTTAAAATGTTCATGCTTAAAATCATATCTACTTGTATGAAAATTAAACCTAATACAAGTTGAAATTACAATATGGGTGTTTATTTTTGCTATATTGTTCATCATTACTTTTAAGATTATTTTATATGTTGTTCTTGTCTAATTTGGTAATTGTCTTCTTCGTTTCATATGAAAGTTTAGTTTATATGTTGTCACTTAAAAGTACATTATCTCAAATGTTTAGCAAAGGTGTCTTATATGATCTACCATAAATTACACTTACTATTGTGGAGATGGCTTAAAATTCTATTAGATATAGTCTTAGTCTGCAATATTGTCTAACAAAACATTTTGGCATGAACTAAAAAATATCTCCATTTCAGATTTTTTGGTTAGCATATGATAAAGACTGTAAATATCACACTGTTCACGCCACCTACTACTGACACCAATGCTAAACTTTGCTGTTGTTTCTGAAGCTAACATTTGGTATTTCATATTTCACTCAAAAGTTTCATGATTATCCCAACAAACAAAGATCAGTAGGTTACTAGAGCACATGTACCAATTACGCAAAGGTCCCAGATTCGATCCCCGGTTCAGGCACTTTGCTTGTTGCGTAAAGTACTTCAGGGTGTTTGACTGAGTGGTCCACGAGTCGTAAAAAGGCTGTGATGTGCACTTGTATGTCTATGTATAAGTGCACATAAAAGAACACAGGGTTCCTTTGAGGAGAGGTTCCTGGATCTGCCTTCCATGATTATGCGTTGATTACGACCGTATATATACGGGATATATCCTTGAGGTATTGCTCACCTTCATTTGGTGGTAAACAAATATACAATACAGTTGGGATATAATCAACTAAGTATTATGTTATATTTTGTTGATTTTGCTAATTAACTGTTAACATAATTTTTTCATTATGTTACATTTGAATGAAATTTCTTTGCATTTATCACACATTTAATGTAGAAGTTATTATGTTTGAGATATTTTTAAATGCATGTTCACAGAAATCAAGATTGGTATCCCAACAAACTAAGTTTGTTAGGGATACAGTGAAGCCCTTCATCCGTCTGTCAATTGATCTGTCCATCTATCAGTTTGAAAAAGACTTTTCTTCATATTTGGTGCAAAAAAGTATATTGGTGATTCTAACATGATATGTGATGCTACATTATCTAGAACAATTAATATACTGGATTATCCCATACTTATTAGTGAACTTATAGGTAAATAACATGCGGGAATATAATCGATATCTGAGGTGAGCGGGTGATATATACAGTGCGTATCAAAAAAACTACAACAGATTGTTATCTTGGAAAAGCACAAAACCAGTGATAACAGCATTGATTTCATTCAATGCACCATAAAGCCATGTGTCTCCTCTTTACAATGATATATCATTCATTGATATTTGGTCATGGTTGGGTGAGTAATCATTTGGTTGAAATTTTATATGATTATGCCTAGGGACACAGTAGCTCTGTTCAAGAAATAATTTTCAAGATGGCGGCTGAATTTCAAGATGGCGGCCAGATTTCGTAAAAAACGTAATCTTTGATAACTCATATACCAGTGAACGGATTTGGTTCAAATTTTATATGATAATGCCGAGTTCACAATGGCATAAACTAACTTTGTGCCAAAGTTCATGCTTCTATCACAAAGTGCACAAACATTTCAACATTTACACTAGCTATAATAAGCATAACATGTTTTGTTCGGTGGGATTTGCTACTCTGTGGAGTTGCTGTTTTTCTAGTATTGTGACATATTTCATAATTCATGAATGATTTATTTGTTGGGATTGGCTACTCCGTGGGGTTGCTATTTCTAGTTGATATTGTTGCTAGAAGTTGAAGTATTAAAGCCATTTTTGTATTAACATTTTACAAGACAGTTCAAGCTTAAAGATGAAAAGGATTGGTATCGATATGGCCAACTGAGTTCAACATTGTTTTTATATGACACGTGTTGTAACTTTACTGATTGACAACAATGCGAAAGTTAGTTTTTATATAACTGTTTTTGTTAACTTTTTTTTTTTAGTGCAATTGTTTTTTGTTCCTTTCTACCGATTCTTAAGAATGAAGTAAAATATCTTTTCAAACCTTGTTGGAACAAAATAGCATATACAACATTTTCTTAGACCTCTAAATATTATAGCTGTCACCTCACTTTGGGCCAGTACATTTAAGATAAAAAATTCAAAATTTAAAAGTTAAATTTTGAATTTTTTATTTGAAAACTTGTCTAACAGAACCTTTTAATGTCTTAAAATTTACTGGCCCAAAGTGAGGTGACAGGAAAAGTTGCTAGCTATCAGCTTCCAACCCCAATTATCAAAGGAATCCTATTGGTTCACTAAAAAACTGATATGATACTTGCAGACAAGAACCATAACATACCTTTACATTCACCACGAGTACAGGGCGTATAAAAATAACGCAACAAGTAAAATCACAAAACTAGTGATGACTACATCAATTTCATTCAATGTACAATAAAGCCACGTCTCTCCTCTTTGCAATGATATGTCATTCATTCACATGTGGAAATGGTTGGGTGAGAAATCCTTCCATTTGCATAGTGGGTCAAAATCGGCTCTGGACCAAGTTTTGGATATTGCAAAAATCAGTGCAAGGGCTAAGAGCCAATGGAAGTTCTCCTGACATGAATTGTTGTGACTTTTTCTTTTGGAGCTATCTCAGGAGCATCTGTGCTCACAATTCCTCCACCAGATATTGCAAAACCTCGATAAAGAATTGCCCATGGGCTGCTTTTCTTACTTTAACCCACAGATGACTCAGGGCTAAACCATGCATGACGTGGACGGATGAGTGCATCTTTATGTGCAAGGAAGTGGTGGCATTTTGGAGGGGTATAGGATGTATTCTTATATATATATGTATGAACAATTTACTGTCTATGCCACACCTGTCGCACCTTCTTCCAATAGCCCCTATGCCCCTTGTACTGACTTTTGCAATGTTAAAAACTTGAGTCCGAGCTGAATTTTGCCCCACTTATATTGCAAAATTAATGATTATTCGGCCAGCCATGACTCCCTGTGAATGAATGATATTCCATTGCAAAGAGGAGTAATTTGGATATTTGGTACATTGAATGAATAGGATGCAGTCAGCATTGGTTTTATGTTTTCTTCCAACATTGCATCGAGCTCTGTGCACTGACTTTTGTGATATTTTTATAACTTGGTCCCAAGCTAATTTTGGCCCACTTTGCAATTCTCCCTTTCGCGGTTCGCTCTTTGAATCAGAACGTTCGCAAATATGTTCTGAAAAAGCACTCAAAAAGGACAAAATTTGATTGGTCAATATTTTCCCACTATGCATTTCGCGTAGCTATTTGCGTGACCCGAAAGTTCTAAATCAAACTAATTACGCAATTTTGTTTTTACACCTGCACGCTAAATAAAACATTATGACACCATCGGAAGTATTCTTCTTTGTCATTGCTTTAATAGTCAGTATACCGAGTTTAATCAATAAAAGATTGTACAATGAACAACAAAATTCGGAAACGAGTACTATAGATTTGCTTTCAGACCACTGAACAGATTGACCTAGATAATAGCGACGCGTCTTCTTTGGTCTACTGCTCAATTGTTTGTGGTTTTCAACGTAACTCTATAATGTAATTTGAAGATGAATACTTTCATTCAGTTGTTGCATCGATGTTGCAGTTTGTAGTGCCGTAAGATTGGCATGAAAGTATTGAAAGTCGAATGGAATTGTTTTTTCCAATATGGCGACTAGTCAACTGATCACGTGACCTTCTCTTCCGGAATATTTTCTCACTTTTCAATCGTCGTTTTCACCACGCTATGAATCAATACAATGAAAAAAATAGCTGTTATATTAAGATTAATAAGAGATCAATCGTTTCTAATAATTTTTTCTGTACTCTCGTAGGGGAATATGAACGAATATATAGTTTGAAAAATAGGTGTGAAAATCCCCATGTTAAACCTATGAGTTAAAACAAGGAAGTATAAATTTGTTCCTCCGCCAACTGCATCATGGGAAATATTTTGACCTTATAAGGAAAGATTTTCGCGTCTCCTCTTTTGAAGAGGGAACAACGATTTCGACAATTGAAATGATTACTTGTCCAACCATGACCAAATGTCAATGAATGATATACCATTGTAAAGAGGAGACACATGGCTTAATGGTGCATTGAATGCAATCAATGCTGTTAAGTAAATCAGTTCTATTTCATTAACAAGATACTTTTTTAAAATAAACCAAACTTTTCCTTGTACTATTTCAATACGATGCGTAAAATTTTCAGAATTTTTGATGACAGGTTTTTGAGAAACATGTGTTCAACTCAGTTCTCCATATTAAAACCAATCCTTTCACCAATGTAGACGACATTTTGTTAAAAATGAAAGCATGTGAGATCTTCACCACTTCATTTCATTCAAGAATAGCATGAATTTTTTATTAAAGCCCTATTAAAAAGCCAGTGATCCGAGATTAACATAATTTTATAATTATTCAAACAAAGACTTAAGCTGCCTTGTGTTGTTATGTTTGCTTATTTAATTGGTCGTTGTGTGTGTGATGCCATACAGGTCCTGTGCGATTAATCACAGCTGATTCTGACTCTAGCGAAGTTGGGAAAGATTCACCACCTATTAACCAAAGTCTGTCTCTATGGGATCCGCCATCACCCATACTCCATGACAATGGTACTGTAAACATTTCCATTGTTAACAATCAAATCAAAATACCAATTTTTGCCAGCTTAATGTTTAGTGAATGCTACAATGAATAGTGAGGATCATGAAATAGGCAAGGCATGGAGGATATGATCCTACCTTTGGACTTCATGTTTGATTGCCTCATCTGTCTCATACCTGGCTTCATTGTGGCCAATTTAATGTTATTACTATTCACCGTTTGGTCTACAGTCATTTTACAGCCTCTATCAAATAAATGAATTACTTCTATTCTATGGCAAATATTGATATTCTTATTTGATTTCACAGATCTGTGGTGAAGGAAATTGTAAAATGTCTGACTTGTTAAATAATAAGAAAATTATAAATTCCAAAACCTTGGAACAGTTATTGCTTAAACAGGGTGTGAGGCATGATAGAATGAAAAGACATGGGGTGTGGAACAACAGAAGGGCATTGGGTTTTGTATATGGAAGGGCATGGGGTATGTACATGAAGGAACATAGGGTACACAGGCAAATTATATCAAACCTTGTACACTGTACAAGCTTGAGGGAGGCGAAGGTACCTGCAGGGGGCTCATTTTCGAGGCCTGTACTTCTGTAATCATAATTTCAAGGCCTGTGGAAGCATGAACAAGGTTCGTGATTTTAAAATTGAGGCCTGTGCGAGCATGTTCGAGGATCGTAATTGAAAAAAGAAATCAGTAATATCATTGATCACTTATATTCTTATTAGAATGCCGTGTTTCGAAGAAACGGCATTCTATAGTTTTCGCCTTTTTCTTATTTTTATTATTAGACTCCAGATATCAATCTGGAGTCTATTGTTTTCGTCAGTATTCTTCTTTATTATTATTTTTATTATTCTTTATTATTCTTTCCCAGTTTTCTCGTTAACTAGAAGATATTGAGTCAAGTCTTATATATGGTCCATTTAGGTCCAGAATCTTGTTCCTCGGAAATTGGGTCAAATTTTTATCTAGGTCAAAGGTCAAGAACTAGGTCAAATCCAGTACTTTGTCACTTTTTTCGATTTTCTCGGTCGTCCTTCAATATTTTCGATCCGGGTTTTTTTCATTGTGTTCCTTATAAAAAAGTAGGAAACCTAGGGTCGATTTAGTTTTTTGATATCTCAAACCGATTTCGAGATATCAGTGTCCGAAAACGAGGTCCAAAAAAAAGTTCTTCGAATCAAATGTCCAGGATATTAGTCTTATAGGAAATTTTCTCAGGATTCCGAATCTGAAAACGAAATTTGGATCTAACTTCCAGTTCGGAAGTTATGGCGTTTTGAAAACTCAAAAATCGCTAAATTTGGTGCCCATGTTAAGTCAATGGGAAAAAATATTTTTTTGAAGTGAAAAATACGGAATATAGACTGAGTTCAGCTTCATATAATCAAAGCCTTTAAAAGAAGGGGACCTCAAAAGCCATCTAGCTTCACAATTTGGACACCGAAATGCCTAGGTCAAAATCTAGGTCAAATTCATAGGTTTTCCTTATTTTTTCGATTCTGACACTACACTTTAATTATATTCTTCGAAATTGCGTATACATGTAGCCAAGAATATGCTAATAGTGTTAGCTTTTTGCCGTCAGAAAGTATTTTGACCCACTTTTGAGATATGGTGTCCGAAAAGTAGGTCAAAATAAAAAGTTCTCCAAATTGAATATATGAGTTATGAATTAAAGGGAAGAATTTTGTCAGGAATCCGAATCTGCAAACCAAATTTCGATCCGATATCCGGTTCGGAAGTTATGGCGTGTCCGAAAAGTAGGTCAAAATAAAAATTCGCCAAATTTAACGTATGAGTTATGAATTAGGGGTAAAATTTTGTCAGGAATCCGAATCTGCAAACCAAATTTCGATCCGACTTCCGGTTCGGAAGTGATAGCGTTTTGAAATTTCGAGAAAAATCGATCTGATGGTATCCTGATAGAAAGTCAAGAGTAGAGAAGAAAATATTGAAAAATTCATCCATCCTCCTATCTCATCCTACCCTATCCTTCCTATCTATCCTTCCTTCATATCTTTTCCTTCCTATCCTTCCTATCCTATCCTATCCTTTCTTCCTATTCTATTCTATCCTATCCTTCTTTCTTATTCTATCCTATCGTTCTTTCCTATTCTATCCTACCTTCCTATTTTATTTATCCATCTCTTTCTAGATGACTCAGCTTATTCTGGATGACTCGGCTTATTCTGGATGACTCGGCTAAAAAAAGTCTAGATCTGGAGTCTGAAATTGAACTTCGTTCAATTTCCAAAATCTAGTTATTATTATTATTATTCTAAGCACGTTTTCTCAATAACCGTAAGGTTTTCAGTAAAGTCAGTCATTTGGTCAATTTAGGTCCAGAATCTAGTTCCTCGGAAATTGGGTCAAATTTTTATCTAGGTCAAAAGTCAAGAATTAGGTCAAATCCAGTACTTTGTCACTTTTTTCGATTTTCTCGGCCGTCCTTCAATATTTTCGATCCGAGTTTTTTTCATTGTGTTCCTTATAAAAAAGTAGGAAACCTAGGGTCGATTTAGTTTTTTGATATCTCAAACCGTTTTCGAGATATCAGTGTCCGAAAACGAGGTCCAAAAAAAAGTTCTCCGAATCAAATGTCCAGGATATTAATCTTATAGGAAATTTTCTCAGGATTCCGTATCTCAAAACGAAATTTCGATCCGACTTCCGGTTCGGAAGTTATGGCGTTTTGAAAACTCAAAAATCGCTAAATTTGGTGCCCATGTTAAGTCAATGGGAAAATATATCTTTTTGAAGTGAAAAATACGGAATAAAGACTGAGTTCAGCTTCATATAATCAAAGCCTTTAAAAGAAGGGGACCTCAAAAGCCATCTAGCTTTAAAATTTGGACACCGAAATGCCTAGGTCAAAATCTAGGTCAAATTCATAGGTTTTCCTTATTTTTTCGATTTTGACACTACACTCTAATTATATTCCTCGAAATTGTGTATACATGTAGCCAAGAATATGCTAATAGTGTTAGCCTTTTGCCGTCAGAAAGTATTTTGACCCACTTTTGAGATATGGTGTCCGAAAAGTAGGTCAAAATAAAAAGTTCTCCAAATTTAATATATGAGTTATGAATTAAGGGTAGAATTCTGTCAGGAATCCGAATCTGCAAACCAAATTTCGATTCGACTTCCGGTTAGGAAGTAATGGCGTGTCCGAAAAGTAGGTCAAAATAAAAAATCTCCAAATTTAACGTATGAGTTATGAATTAGGGGTAGAATTTTGTCAGGAATCCGAATCTTTCAATCTAATTTCGATCCGACTTCCGGTTCGGAAGTTATGGCGTTTTGAAATTTCGGAAAATCGATCTGATGGTATCCTGATAGAAAGTCAAGAGTAGAGAAGAAAATGTTGAAAAATTCATCCATCCTTCCTATCTGATCTTATCCTATCCTTCCTTTCTATCCTTTCTTCGTATCTTTTCCTTCCTATCCTTTCTTCGTATCTTTTCCTTCCTATCCTATCCTTTCTTCCTATTCTATTCTATCCTATCCTTCTTTCCTATTCTATCCTATCCTACCTTCCTATTTTATTAATCCATCTATTTCTAGCTGACTCAGCTTATTCTGGATGACTCGGCTTATTCTGGATGACTCGGCTAAAAAAAGTCTAGATCTGGAGTCTGAAATTGAACTTCGTTCAATTTCCAAAATCTAGTTATTATTATTATTCAACACAAGATTTCTCCGCACACACCGACATGTCAGCTAATTAGCATATACCATCAACCTTGACATGTTCCTGGGCTACAGGGAAATGCCTTCATTTTTTTAATTAGCCCCTCCCTAATTAGCCAAGGTCAAATCGCAAATTTTTACATTTTTGCACCATTTTTATTTTTTACCCAAAATTTGCATATGCCATCCCTCACAATTGCCATTTCACATATATTCCGGGTTTTAAAATTGGGTGCCCCAAATTTGAAAAATGGGGCACCCCAGTGGGGCAAAATTTGAAAACTGTGTATCCGATCCCAATTCTGAGCAGATATAAAGAATAGAAGCCCCTGATTCCAAATATGCTTTCGGTTTTGGAATCCGACCTCTGAGTGACCTTGAAAAGGTCAACAAGTTCAAAAATCAAAATCGCTCAAATTGATTCCAAATTGGTACCATTGTATTACACTGTACTCGGATAGAGTAAATTAGGTCACCATTTTGACCTTGACCTTTGACATTGACCTTCAAATGACCTCAAAGTTGAAAACTAGGATTTTCATTCCAATTCTTTGCAAGTATGAAGTATGGATGTCCCTGATTCTAAATATGCTTGTGGTTTTGGAATTTGACCTCCGGGTGACCTTGAAAAGGTCAAAAAGGTTAAATTGCTAAAATTGCTCAAATTGATTCGAAATTGGTACCATTGTATTACACTGTACTAAACTAGAGTAAATTAGGTCAACATTTTGACCTTGACCTTTGACCTTCACCGTAAAATGACGTAAAACTTATTTCTTGTTTTACCTGTTCAAGGAGCCACTGTAGTTATTTTTTGCATGCCTTACTTTTCCCATTTAACATATCTCTAGGGTTTATAATTTGGGTGATTTTCATTCCAATTCTTTGCAAGTATGAAGTATGGATGTCCCTGATTCTAAATATGCTTTCGGTTTTGGAATTCGACCTCTGCGTGACCTTGAAAAAGGTCAATTGTGCACCGAATTTGCTGCTGCGGCGAGGAACGGCATTCTACGAAATCGCCCCCGTGGCGATTTTAAATGTCTAGTTATTAATGCCATTTTGAATTGCCCACGGTGATGGTGCATTGCATAATAGGTAATGAGATTTCCCCCAAGGTATCAAGAAAAAGAACAAAAAAATATGCAAATTACATGGTCGTATGTTTTCAACAAAAAAAATCATCCAAACGCGCCTACACTCACATCATTTTTTGAAAGACATCACAGTTTTACTGCAATCGAGCTCCTATGGTGTACTAGCAATAAGCTGCCATGGTTGACACTCTTGAGCAGCTTACAAGTTTACCACAGGGTTATTAGTGGTTTAATTACACTTGTATGAACTGCTGCTTTTGTTGAAAATGTGTGAGCATGTCATTTCTAATTCATGTGCTCATTGTTCTTTTTCATGATACCTTGGGGGAACCAGGCTTTTACAACCTCGAACCGACCCCTATGTAATTTGCCTGTGTATGATAGCATAAAAGTAAATGGAGTAGTGCACGGTGGCAGGAGGGGAGAAATAGAGTTATTTAAATCGTTAAAGTTTCCAAGGTGTGCAAAACATCTTTGATGAGAGCAGGATGTATATGTTGGTATGAAACATGCTTATTGTATATCTTCTAGCATATGTTATTTAGCATATCAAAACACCCTTATGTGAAGGCAGCATGCATGCAAAATAATTTAGTTTTAATTCCATGATTATTTTGCATGCAATTCCACATTCATACCACATTCCACATATATGGTTTATTACCATCAAATGAAACAATGCTTAACTTAATATTTCAGACTTGAGTGAGCTGGCAAGACAGACGCAGGAATTTGCCAGCAAACAAGGGCGTAACTCAGTGGGAAGTCATTCCCCAGAGTCCCTTAGTCCTGGCATACGTGTGGGCAGTAGCTACAGTAATGCTGTCAGCCATGGAGGTGACAAGAAGTTGTGCTCTGACCCCACCTCACCATTTGCATCACTTATAGAAGGTAAATCGTTCTATAGTTAACCCCATCTCTCTTTTCACTATTATTATCCCATCGAACGAAGTTCTGAGGGATATAGGGAAGGCCTCCGTCCGTCCAGGCAATAACTCAAATACCGTTAGCCCGATTTTGTTCATATTTTGTACACATATACCCTATGGGGGTAGAAGTTCTGCTCGAAAGCCGATTTTCAAAATGGCCACTCATTTTAAAAATGGCGGCCATATTAGTGCAGATTTTACAGTAGTTTAGGTGCAATATGTAAAACTGTAATAGCAATATGTTTTAAATGTAAAAAAATTATGAAGGACATTAATAAAGCTACAAATGTAGATATTAAAGAAGCACATGGCAGCCATCTTGAAAAATGTCGGCCTTTACTCGTTATTTTACGATTTTTGCTGTAACTTGAAAAGTAGTGGAGCGATTTTGTTCATATTTGGTATGTGAGTACTATAAGCATGGCACACTGTCTAATGACACTTTTGGTAGAAAGTGGCCATTTTGAAAAATGGCCGCCATTTTAACGTATTTTACTATAACTCGAAAAGTAGTGGAGCGATTTTGTTTATATTTGGTATGTGAATACTAAAAGCATGGCACACTGTCTAATGACACTTTTGATAGAAGGTGGCCATTTTTAAAAATGGCCTCATTTTAACGTATTTTACTATAACTTGAAAATTAGTTCAGCGATTTTGTTCATATTTGGTATGTTTCATAGTTTAATAGTTGACTAGGAACCTATGTAGATATAGGGAGGGTTAGTTAAAGTCCTACAAAAATCACTTCTTTCAAAAATATTTTAAGGGGCATTTTTCTTCATGGCTATTTCGATCAATAGACTTTAATTTTAGGATTAACATTTTTCAAAATGGCCACCTACTACCCAAAGTGTCATTAGACAGTGTGTCATGCTTATAGGTTCCTAGTCAACTCGGACCCTAGTTAACTCGGACCCTAGTCAACTTGGACCCTAGTCAACTCGGACCCTAGTCAACTTGGACCTATGTATTTTTTATATTTTTCCTCAGTTGAGCATTAAAATGATAAGGTATATATAAAAACAACATTAATCATATATAATTGTTAGATAGAACAATGGTTGATAATGGTGAAAAATAATTCTGACACTTTTGAGTCAATCATAAACCATTCAGCCTGATTGTGAAATCATATACTGGTAGGAATAAATATTAAATAACCAAGATTTTGATTTTACATGAAACCAGTTAATTTGTCTTCCAAACAAATAGTATGTAACAATAAATTAGAAATTCAAAGGTGAATTAAATGTTGTTGACCTCATATGTTGACCTCATAATTTTATAAAGTGGTCCGAGTTGTCTTTGGTCTGAGATATCTTGGGTCCGAGTTGTCCAGGGTCCGAGTTGTCCTGGGTCCGAGTTGTCAAGTTACCAAATAGATTAACAAAAGAAAAATTCAACCACTGCCATATTGGTCCTGGACGTGGGTAATGCTACATGAATATCGATGTTACATATACATGTAGATGGTTATTACATGGATGAATGCCATATAGGTGATGTTAACATGGATGACATGGTGATAAAATGTTAATTTGTTCAAAGTTACACTATTAAGGTGATGTTAGTCACATGGAAATCAGTGTATGGATGTAGGAACTCTTGGGTTAAAATCCTCACTATTCATTTCTATGCTTCATTAACACTTAATATAAAAATGCATTGGTATCTTTGAACTACAGTAAAACCTGTATATCTGAACACCTGGCTAATCCGAACACCTTCCAATTTGAACACTTTTTTTCGGTCCCATTTTTTCCTCCCATTGACTCCCATGTTAAAAAAAACTTGAAATCTGAACACCTCCTAATCTGAACAGTGAACAACCAGATTTGAAAAACTGACCTGTCTAATCTGAACATTTTATCAGAAATCAAATGTCTGGACATTTCAATTAAAGCCACATATTGAGTCAATGTTATAGTTGTTATTTATCTTTACATATGCAATGTAATCAAAGAACCAATATTGTCCTAATTAACTTATTTAAGTCTCAATGACATCCTTAATTGTGGAGAACAACAGGATGATTTGGAAAGGTGTGAATACAGGAGTTAATTGGTTTATCCTATTAGATAAAAAAAAAGTTTTATGTTTGGATTAAGAGAAAGGTGAGAATCTGGGAGATAATTGGTTTATCCTTATTTTAAATTAACTGGTTGTTTGTGATTTGGATTATGAACAAGTCTTAACTGTTTTATATCCCATGGGTCTGTTATGATAACTAGGATTCAATCAGTAAATGTTTTATAATCACAGAGACAACACAGACACATTTGCAGACAAGATTATAATTGTTTTATCATTATTAGAAATTACCTGGATGTTTTTGATTTGGATTAAGAGAAAGGTGTGAATCAAGAAGATAATTGGTTTATCCTTATTTTAAATTAATTGGATGTTTTTGATTTGGATTATGAACAAGTCTTAACTGTTTTATATCCCATGGGTCTGTTATGATAGCTAGGATTCAATCAGTAAATGTTTCATAATCACAAAGACAACACAGACACATTTGCAGACAAGATTATATCACGAGAAAAGGAAAAATTCAACTTCATAATATCCTATCACTAAAATGCCTCCTAAAAAGGCACATCTGACATCCTGAATGCCCTTGTTGAAGAGGGTATCTACTCAAATATTGCTAATGCCAAAAGTGCCAACAAACAAACAACAATGAACGACTTTTCAAGCTAAAGTAAAGCAGTGCTATGTAACCATAATATTAGATAAGTCATTTAATAAGCATAAGATTTCGTACAAGACTATCATATTACAAAGTTTTTGTCAAAATTAAAGAGTTATTTTTCCAAAAATAATGAAATTGTTCAAAATGTAAATAAAACATAGCATAGCATGTAGGCTATAGGCCTATTGTAGAATAAACTCATCAACAACATGTATTGTTTTCTGACTAAGTATTAAGTGTTCAATATATCGGATTGAACAATGAAAATCCCCCACCCCCGACCAACAATACCCTCGAAATTTGAACACCTGCCAATTTGAACGCTTTTGGCTGGTCCCATAGGTGTTCGGATTAGACAGGTTTTACTGTATTATAGCTTGGTATGATAAATAATACAAGGTGTCTCAAAAAATGTACCCAAAAGTATATTAACGCCACAGATAAACCAATCAATATTTTCAGATATTTTTGCATGGTCATGTTGCTGAAGCATGTAAGTTTCCTCCCCAATACAAAGGTTTTAGTTCAGTCTTGCCTTTTTGATGATATAATCCTTTACTTTTTGGCTCACACAGTGAGCCTATTGGATTGACCAGGCGTCCGTCCGTTGGTCAATCCGTCCATCAACATTGGCCGCACAAATTAAAACTGCTATTCGGATTGAGTCATATCCACAGTCATTTTATGCATATCCATGGCAGGTTTTGTGATTGACAAGTTTCTCAAAGTTTGCCTTATACTTGATAATTTCTTGCAATGAATTACATCATGACTAGATTTAAGCATTCCTACATATATATGTCAGCATCAAATTTTTACTGTTTTTGAGATATTTGACGTAAAAAAAACAGAAAAAATGAGTTATTTTTCAACTTGCTTCAGTTTGACCAAATTCTTTTTTGAAAATCATCTACAAGTTAACAGGAGTTCAAATCTGACATTAGTTTGAGGAATTGACCTTTACTTGACCTTAATTGACCTTTGAAAGGTCAAAAAAGTTGATTTTTCAAATTGATTTTTGGATGTAAATTTTGGTCAGCTTAAAAAAGACCACAAAAGACCTTACTGAGCTCTAAAAAGTAAAATTTTCAAGGTCAAAGGTCATCAAACTGGGTCACACAACTGTGCTGTCTAAGTTTCTCAAAGTTCGAGACTACAAATATAAATCAATATTTTTGTTTGAAAGTCAGGATATACATTCCTCTGAAGGTTCCAAACTGTGTGAGCACAGGACCATGGGTCCTATTTTTATTTCTTATTTTGATGACAGCCTGTATCCTTGTGCTAGATTGTTCATTACATTTAATAATGTTTCAGGTGGAACGTTTTGAATTTCTCTTTGGATGTTGGCCTTATTATGTTGTTCTAGGTCTTTTGGCTTGGGATAAGCTTAACATGCTCCTTCAAGTAGCCCCAGAGAAAGAAGTTCCAAGGTTGAAGATGGCAGAACAATCACAGAACACCAGGTCAATTATCGTCAAATGATTAAGTGGTTAATTGATAATAGAGTTCCATCTGCAAGAGTTACAGAGACTGAATGATATCCAAACGAGAACACTATGGTTCCAGACAATTTGAGCCCCTCCATCGCTACACAAAAAAAATTACCATGAAAGCAGTTTCTTCTCTCTATTGAAAACCATGGTGAGGGCCTCCAACTCCCTATTCAACAGATTTGACACCCCTAACATTTTCTCTGGGATGACTTCAAGAAGCATGTTTATGCTTATCCCAAGCCAAGAGGCATAGAACAACTTGAGATCAACATGTGAAAGGAAATTCAAAACATTCCACCTGAAACATTATCATATATGATAAACAATGTAGCAGTAAGGATGCAGGCTTTTATCAAAATGTAAGGAGGTTAAATTAAACACATGGTATAAAAAGGGTTAAAGCATCAAAAAGGCAAGACTGAACTAAAAATTTAGTATTGGAGAGAAAACTTACATGCTTTTCCTAAATGACCATGCAAAAATATCTGAAAATATTGATTGGTTTATCTTAATGCTGTTGATATATCATTGGGTACATTTTTGAGATACTCTAGATAATAAAAATTGTTATTACTCTAATGTCACTGCCAGTAATCTGACAAAATGAGTGAAGAGGAGTCGATTTCTGCTAGAAAATTCAACAAATAAGATTTCTTTTTTCAAAAAGCATATAGTATGGTTAAATCAGGTTTTAGGTGTAAGAATGTCAAACGCCGTCTCAAAAAATGGAGACGAATGGAGAACAATATGTCACCGCTTTTGGTGATG